AAACCCTCGTTTCGTCGTCAGAATGAAGAATAAAATAGAATAAGAATGAGCGGAATAGAATATAAAAGAACAGACAGAAACCGGTCAAACGGTTCTGCTTTTCCTCGCTCCTTCTCCCATCGCAGCTCGAATCTCTCTTCAAATCTGCCAATCACAAGAGATATTAGTGCGCTAGTAACATAAAGTGGGGCACTTTAGTGGGACCTATTGAGACTAATGCAAACATTTTTTCAATCTTCAAAAAAGGGCCAAAAAGATTTTTCATCCGAGCCTAAGCGAAGTGATGCTCCGATGTAGGTGACTGTCCCCCCCCCGGACTGAAGTGCAAACCCATACCCGAAAAAAAGGATATAGGGACCGAACCGTATGTTATGAGTGTCCACTCCTGCTTACAATTCTGCCTCAAATTCCATCAAAGCTTTACAGGAGACTTTTCATACAAGCTCTTTCAGGACAATGAAGGTCACGCTCCTATCGACGTGGATCGTCGCTCTCCTAGTAAGCCTTTTCGTGAAACGTCTTAAGAATATTTCGTGGAGAGCATTACATCTATAGAAGTCCATTCATGACATTATTGGAAAAACTCTTTCAGATGTGCCCTCTTATCGGAATGATTAACGCGTGCGATACTCCCCCGTGTTTTATTAGAGGATGGAAAGGAGGCTAACGGAGACGATCATGGGATGGATCATCAAGAGCAACGCTCGAAACTCTGGGGTGAATAAACATGGCTTTGTTGTAGTCCTCACGGTCACGCTGTTATTCAGTGACATAGTTCACCCTGTGAAGCACACATGGTATCAAAATGTGAAGGGGAAGTTGCCAAGGGACGCGTCGATTAGGGGGAATTAAGGAACAGAGACAGAAACACTTCTTATAGAGCCCACTCTTCTCGAGTCCCATATAAGCACAAAGGCCGCTGCTGGCACTTCACCTTTCTGACTCCTCAATACGTAAAGTCGGGATATGGAAACATTACAAATATAGATAATCCTCTCATGTACAAGGGCAATCATCCCTTCTTCTCTCTTAAAATTACAAAACAAAGGGTAAATAGAGGAAAAAGAAACACTAAAAAGATAAAGTAAACACATACGATAATATTATAGCAGAGATAACGAGTAATAATGAAACACTCAAACCTGTTCAGTACTACAGAATGCTCAAGAGTCTGCGTAAAGAAGAAATTAAGAAACTTATTGAAGCTCTCCATGTCTGCAGACTTCTTACAGAGCGTTAATAATAAGACTAGGTACTTAATATTTTGTCTGCTAGCTCATTTTCATTTTGACACTACCACAAAAGAAATCACCAGAAAGAAATATCATAATGTAGAGGTCAGTTTCAAGAGCAGAGTATTTAATGAAATACCCTTCAACAGAATCTTCAATTCACGTACTGTTAGAGATATACTACTCAGCGATAATGGAAGGATTAGTGATTTCACCCCAATTAGAATTATTTATAAGTACAACAACACAATGGCTAGCAAAATTTGCAATTACAACAAAGTGTTGAAAGATCTCGACAACGAAAAATTGAAGCAAATACTCAACAACGATTGTATATGTACTACAAATACAGTACAAGAATATGTGGATAAAAATTATGAACACGTTATCACAGGAAATGTAAATCTTATAAAAGAAGAGAGTTTCAGAAGACTGCTGAGTAAAGGGACTAAATATAGATCAGACACAGGCATAACAAGACAAGAAGTTAAAATGGTGTTTGAAGATACACTCATCAAGGTTATGAATTATTTGAAATGTAAATACAAAGCTAGCAATCACAAGGTTATTCTATTACAGAAACATTTTCGTACATGTTACCATGACAAAGTTAAACCTCTACTTACAAAGGCTAATATTGAAAATGTAGGAGAACACATACCTTACAACTTAATCAAACAATATCAAGAAAAATACGTGTTCTGTCCTCTCGACAAAGCAAATAATAACTATGGCATCATCTGCAAGAAGTTCTACCTTTTGAACATAATGCATGAAATGGGCATTCTCTTATGATGCTGCCAACCACACATTTGTCTATGGAAACAGTAATAACACATATGAATTAATGCCTCATACAAACAAGTATTCTTTAATATTGAAGCATAAATTCCTTTGTGTAAAGAATAATATCAATATATCCATTGATGCAGAAATACCTACTATATATGCCTTACCAAAGCTACATAAGAATCCAGTTAAATTCAGATACATCACAGGTGCACATAGCAGTAGTGTTAAGCCTTTGGCCCAAGAATTACGCATAATCTTCACACATCTCAAAAATCACTTTATTAACTACGCCAGAGTAATACAGAACCGCAACAGGACTATCAAGACATACTGGTCTATAAGTAATATTAATATAAGTCAAGAACTACACAACATCACGTTCGACAATCTCAGAATTTACACTGCGGATTTCACGGACATGTTCACAAATTTAGAACATGATCTTATTGTAAAGAAAATGCAAGAACTTCTTAACATTTGCTTCAAAAATGCCAACAGATCCTTTATTGCCACTAATGGTTACCATGTTTTCTATACAGATGGTAAAGAATTTAAGAACAACTACAGATATTACAAATCCAGCGATTTAGTATACTTTATTGACTATCTTTTACGTAACAGTTTTTGTCTTTTTGCTAATAATACGTTCAAGCAGACTAAAGGTGTCCCACAAGGTGGCAATTTTAGTCCACTACTGGCAGATCTTACGCTTTCTGTCATGGAGTATGACTATGCTAAATCTAAAAAGTTTAATAAAAGTAAGCTGTTCATTCCATATAGATATATGGATGATTTGCTTGTTGTGCATAACCAAACTGATGATGATGTGGATGAACAACTTTCTCAAGTTTATCAAAATACCCTTCAATTGAAAAAAACTCATAATAGTGAAGTTTCAAGCAATTATTTAGATTTAACAATTAATATTACTAACGGTAAAATTAGTACTAAGCTGTATAATAAAACGGATGATTTTAGCTTCAATGTAATCAGATTTCCGTATAGTGACACAAACATTTCCCTTATTAACAAATCCTCTGTCATATATACGGAAACTTTGAGGCTAGCGAACACTTGTTCGTTCTTCAATGTTTTCGTTAGCAAAATAACGGATATGGTCACAACACTCTTGAAAAATGGCTACGAAGAAGATTTTATTGTTACTAGCATTGTGAAATGTATTTACAAAAATTTATAAGTTACAAATACTCAATCGCAAATAACTATAGAAAGATAAATAGACTAGTGACAGGTATTCTCATTTGCAGCGGTGCTCAACACTAATTCTCCTCCTTCCGCTACGCCTTTTATTTCATTTTATTTATGTAATCCGCTTGGACATTGTTTTATACTCTACATCTCTCAGTAGGTCTAACCTATTAACAATCCAACATCATGTTATTCCCTCCTTGATTACTATGCATAATTTATCATTATCTTGATAGCATTAACTTTGCATGTAACCTCTTTAACTTTTACATTCTCTCTCGTTTTATCCTATTTCTCAACACCTTCCCCTATGTAGTCCATGTCCTCATGTCTTCAACCTGTCGCACTGACGAGCTCGGGGGTTGGCTAGACAATGATGATTCGTCTGCGATACCGAGCGAAACGGATCATCTGTGTTGTGGAGTGTATTCCTTTCCCATGTTTGTTTTTCTTTGCTTCTAATTGCTTTGCTCATATGATATTTAGTAGCGCTGCTTCGAGTAATAAAGAGGATCAGCGGTATGAGACTCTCCAGCCCGATAGTTTCGCCGCGCGTGTCCGCAGGCGAAAGAGATCATTCTGCTTTCTTCTCTATGGGAAAGATCTTAATCCGAGTTTCCTATTACTAGCTCTACTACAGAGGATTTGGTAGGAAAACCTTGAGACACGTATCATTGGTCCCTTTCAAGAAGTGGTTTTGACTTTCTTCAACATGTTTATCACTTCAAGCTTATAAGGGCTAAAGACAAGAGTATCATATCCAATAGCTGGTCTAAGCTAGAAGTAGCATCGATATTTCTGGTCGAAAGAGCTCTGAATCGATTGTGTGTTGATGCGCTACTTTTGTTTTCTATCACTGAGGCCTTACACAAGGGAAGGTCTTTCACTTTGTGGCGCACGTTCTGGTAATGTGTTGCTTGTTGTAGGGGTCCATACAAGGATCACAAAAATGGGTTTCATTTTTGCTATGCGTTTCTGGGGAGGTCAAAAACTGAGTGAAAAGAATTTGACAAGAATGGGGGTTTGCGTCATCGTTATGCGTTCTGATCTTATGATCCCAGATGTCGAGGACGATATGGGCGGACAAGAGGAGACGCGAGATGTCGCTCGGCGCGGACGGCTGGACTACAACTTCTGCCCATCAACTACTACCGCACTGGACAGTTAACCATTGTTGCTAGTGAAGGATTAGTTATACCGCAGCTGTTGCGCACGCTTCACACAGGACTAATTAGCTTGAGGCAGCTATATAAGCTGCGTTCATACTTTGCGGCAATACCCACCAGCGCTCCGATCGTCCGCCAGCGTCAGCTACTATGACGATCTAGCGTTCAGGAGCGTCTACCAGCGTCTCGAGAGGTGGACAAGTATAGGTATCAACCTATCGTCTACCAGCGTCCACCAGGGTATAGCAGCCCCGGGAATGGAAAGCATGGCGCGATAGGGGGGGGGGTATCAGGCAGCTGCTAGACTATGGGGAGAGACGATGCCGAATGGAGCGCTGGTGGATGCTGTTGGTCGCTGGTGGGCGCTGCTGCAAAGTATGAACGTAATCTAACCGCTCTCACTCATGACTATAATCTCTCCCCCTCCCCCCCCCCTCCAGACGCGATTAATGGTTGCCAACGGGAAGTGATCAGTTTACTAAGACCCATACAGTGTAATTCAAACGAATGGTTGAAGCGCATGGACAGCTCGAAATAAAACTATTTATTATAAAATCTTTGTATAACTGATTTGACTAGTGATAAATGAAATCGTTCTCTTTTACAAATCATCTTCATCACTGTCGTCTTTTCGAGGCAGCATGCGCTTTTTATCACCATTGAGATCGCAGCTCATATGTGATAGTCGTGTACGACGAAATCTTCTGAAACTGAGATTGATGTGGATCGAGACCCTCCCAGACAAGCAGCCCGGGCTCAAGAAGCATCCCAGTTCACTAAACTTACCGAACACATCGTCTCCATGAACTTCTCACGAAGAAATAGAGAAGTAACGAAACCAGGGCACTTGCCACACCAATGGCTGCAGGGATAACCACATTACGATGGTATGGCGTGTTCTGAGAAACCATTTGATCTTTTCAATGGACATGGCAGATAAGGCCGCAATTCGGCGATGGAAGGGGGGGGGCATCTTAGACTTTTTTAGTGCACTGTGTTACTGACAAGTCTCACACTGGTGAAACCTGTTGGCTCTTGTGAAGTATGAGCGAACTTGTCGAGCCGTCAGCCAGGTAAACCTGTCAATTTCTTGTAAGCTCACGAAATGGCTCTCTAGATGGGTCGACACATCGATGGGAAGTAGCAAAAGTGCAAAATGCCTCCCCCCCCTCCCCCCCCCCCCCCGTCGCCGAACTGTCTAAAGATAAGTGAGCCGCTTACCATCCACTCATCCAGATCCTTTCGCAAAGTTTCATAGCTGTCACGAAGGTAGATGATCTCTCTCTGGATTGAGCCCCGTAGTCCCGTATAGGCGACGTCAGTGTCGTTTGAGAAGTCGATACTGAAGAAAAAATACTTCATATCACAAGCAAACCTACAGGAAAAGAACAATTACGCATGGCTCGGCAATTAGCTAAGCGCTCACCCTGAGTAAACCTTCTGGTACGGATCACGCGTGTAGAATTGTTGTGGAGTTTAGGTAATGGACTAGTTCTGTCCACGTAAGCGCGGAAATTCCATTGTTTCAGAGAAGTTCCGTCCCAATAGAGAAAAGAGGGGTGGAACGCTTGTTTGGAGTCGGTGGTATTCGAGTGAAGCAGTGAGGTGGTTGGCTCAGGACTTGATCGGAGGCACCCGATCACCTGTCTGGCTCCCAAATAACTGGCTCGTGACACACATCCGTTTCTATGAAGAATTTTAAGAGCTGCGCTTCTGAATGTGATGTTGTTGGGAACAGCCACATCCCAAAACATGGTCGCTGCCCTGCCAGGCAACCCGCCACTTAAGACACTGTCCGCACTGACCATGTAGGATCTTCTCCACTGGCGTGCCTTTACTCTTTGCAACTTCCTCTTAACAAGGGAGGTCGTTCAGGCCGTGGTGAGCTTTTTCAAAACGGTTTGTTGCATGTTGTAGGGGTCCATGCGAGGACCACAGCGATGGGGTTCATTTTTGCTAAACGGTTTTGGGAATGTCAAAAAAAGGTCAAAAACAATTCGAAAAGAATGGGCTTTTTAAACCACCTTATTCCCCTCTATTCTGGCTGTAGCGTTGATAGTGTATAGTATGCAGGGTGTTCTTTGAGCAGGCATGAACGAAGAACAGCGCCGCAAAATAAGGTCAAAATCCAAATGTCTACTTGCATTGCGCGTGTACCTGCGCATTGGAGTATTTCCAGTCATCTGCGCTATCTCTTAACAGGTCCTGTGTCGCTAGTGTCGGAGTGGCAGATGGTGTGGTGTATAGTGCGACGGGCTCTCGGACGGTGGGTTTGTGGATCGGGTCCCCTCGCCGACACTAGTTTTGCATTTTTCACATTTCTTGCTTCTTGCATTCCTGTATGCCCCCATAATAGTGTATGACCCGGATATACGCCATTTGAAGGCTTATTCCATGCGGGAACAGTTCACAAATAGGCCTCACTCAATTATTGCGCTCGCGAAATACTATCGAAAAAACTTCATGAAACTTGGGTTACGGCGGTTATCCGATGCTCTGTTCATGAACACGACACTCATTTTGAACATGGCAAAATGTGGTCGCGTAACTCTCGGTCGCAAAGTCTTTTCTCGTACTACATCATTTGTCAGTCTGCGCGCGGGCTAGTTCTAGCGCCGTTTATGGCCCAGATGGCGCGTTCCGCGGCAAAATAATATCTGATCCGTCGATCAGGACCATCAATACCCCTAGCGTATGGCAGACGCCGAGGGAAAAATTTTCCCGAGCTTTTTTGTGTTATGTTGCCGGCCATGTTCCTCTCAGCAGTGGCTATCAAGCCCCCCCTCCCCCAAGGAGTCGTTATCCAACATCGTTAAGAGGAAGCTTTTCATTTGCTAGTATGCAGACGCAGAATTAAAAACTACACAAAAAAGTGACGCACATACACTGCACTCCTCTCATACCTTTGATATGAGAAACAAAAACCTTTCTTCGGGCAAGTGGTAACGAGTTCTTTCTCGAAAGCATAGACGGTAAAAGTGAAGAAAATCCAGGATGCTCGTTTAGTGGCTCCGAAGCTAGCAAGATGTTCTATGAAGACCTACTGAAGTTGTGGGGCAAGAAATGAAAAATTTCTGGCGGTTCGTCTGCCAGAGGGAATACTTAACGGAGGGTTCGCCTGTCACTGCCATCCAAAGGGTCAGGTCCATGACCACTAAAGAAACTCGAAAATTTTTTTTCGCTGAAACCTCTCAAACAGGGGTAATCAATGGCCCTGATCACGATTCTGACAATTATTTATGGCGCCGACGTGATCTGGGGCCAGCGTGGCGCTAAAAGGCCACTGCGAGCGCGAAGGGATGCTGCATAAAGCCCCTAAAGAAATTGCAGTGTACCTCACTGTATGCCAAGTAAGGCACCTGTATTTCGACATTATTCAATGTTCTTTTTCATGTCTAGTTGAGAAACACTTTATAAACTCTATGTATTCTGCTTTACAGCTGAAACAGATGCGAATGAGATGATAAAACTTGCGTATTTTAAGCGATTTTGTTTTATTCCTTTTTTGACATTCCCAATAGCGTTTAGCAAAAATGAAACCCATCTGTGTGGTCCTTGTATGGACCCCTACAACATGCAACAAATCGTTTTGAAAAAGCTCACCACGGCCTGAACGACCTCCCTTGTAAGAGGTGCATCAATGGGAAATAAGCTGTTGCTGGTTATACCCGCCCAGACGATCAGTGGGAAGTCATCCTGGTCCGAAGGACACTTTAGTTTCCAAACTAGTCTCATTTCCAGAAACCGTTCAAAAATGTTTCGCCATTCTACCACAAGTGAACTTCTCGTTGGATATGGACGTCACATGCGTGCTGTTGTAACGGTCATAGGCTAATTAGCGTTCCCTAGCTAGTTGACTCTACAAACACATCCCTTTTTCCTAAGCTCTCCTAAATTAACACGTTCCGGACCGCGTGACACACATGGTGTGTCATGCATTTTCTTTCTGCACCGTTTCCTATGGTCTATTTGGCATCTTGTTCATGCTCCAAAACTATCAGAAATGTTTTTAGGCGCAGAACACACATATTTCACAGAAATGTGGGAGAAACAGATGAATTTACTGATTTTCGATTTGAAAACTAGCGAAATGATGCGGAGATCCTCGCACAACGGCGGTCCGGAATGGCCCTTCGAGCGAATGCCGCTCCTACTACACTTGAAAGCCTGCAGTCGCAACGTGCCCAGGAAGGAGCCCTCTAAGCTCCGAAGAGGGCACCAAAATCAATTTAACCCCTCCTGGAGCAAAGCTCGCGATGCCTTGTTCGTACTTCGCGACAGATTTCCAAAGCGCGTAGATCTGACCTACCACTGATCGATGGACAGCTGGGTCAGGCAGAAGTTCTTTCCTGGATGTGACTGGACGAGTTGCATAGTTTCAATGCAGAAGAGCACGACCAGTCCCATTCGCGCGACATAGGAATTGAACGCATCGCGAAGTATGAACATGGGCCAACAGAATTTTTTTTCTTAGGGACATTTCATGCAGTGTCGGATACGAAATCAGGATTACTGTAGTTGCAAAAGCTCTTGTCCCAAAATGCCCACCATGGAATAGTACTATAACAAATGGCAAAAGGTTGAGTCTTCACGTTGATCCCTTTTCTTTACGAGAGTGCGCCACGCGTTGAACTTCTATTTAGAATAGTGGTAGCTTGTTGGATGCAGTGTGGCCTAGGCAATCACTTGCGGGGCGAGGGTACAACACTGGGATTGGTGGATTGGGGTATTAGTCGACCCCATTAATTCCTCCTCTACAAGCTCATCCCATAACCTACCTACATTCTTACTAGATTATCCTAAAACTTTCCCATAGAGCGGACAATGAGGGGGAGGGGGTTGGGGTGAAATAGTAGACGCCCTTTCGACTAACTGTCAGAGCTAGTCGATATGCAAGTCGGTTTTATCTTCATGGACGAATACGGTACGGCTTTACCGTCTCGTGAAAGATGAAAGGTCTGTTACATATTACGGAAGTCGGCACGAGAACAGACTCTCGGAACTGTGCTAATGATGTGCAGAGCAACTTGCAGCCATACCATCCGGTTTGCAGTAATAATACCGTTTTCAATAAAGGGGGGGGGGATAACAGGCGCACTTCGGTTCGAGAGGGGAGGTCGTTTTGCACTTTCGCCACTTAAGTAACAATTGAACACGTCAATGGGAACTGGCTAAAGTGCAAAATGCTCCCCCCACGCCGAACTATCGAGCAATTATATGAGGCTGCGTTCATTGTTTGCAGCTTGTGGACGCTATTGGTCAATGGTGGACGCTGCCGCAAAGTATGAACGCAGCCTAAGGATACTGTAGCGCACAGCGATGTAAATTCGAAAGAATTTTATCCGGAAGGACAACTAGGCAACAATCTAATGATGGTTCACTGAAACTAAATTTTTAGAAACAAAATCATTAACATCGCCAGCTGCAGTGGCGGAACGGTTAGAAACGAAACACTTGGCTAATACTCCATATTTCATGCGTCACCTGGACCTCAGAATCATTGCAGAGTCTTGAAAATCTTGCACAAACAAGAAGCTTGGCTCTCGGGCGTGGTCGTAGCTGACGACTGTTGACGGAGGCTGCAGCGGTCAGATGGGATGGGCGATAGTTGTTGGTATGAGCGGTAGGTGGTATGGTAGGGACCGTCTGGTAGTAGCGAGCGCTCCGAGGACTTATTGGTGAACGTTTAGGAAAACCACAGCAATAACACCATCCTGGAAAAGATCAGAGCAGAGAAGTCCCAACTTTAGGGTGGAGAGGAGGAGCAAGAGTCGATATTCCAAGGGATTCTTGAGAAAATAATTTACTACAGACAAAATAACTCGAAATCAGTTCCCAAAACATTGATAGAGACAGAGAGAGCACACAGGAAAAAGTAGCCGAATGGCTGGAAATGTAGGCCACCGTCGGCACATTGAAAGGCTGCGAAGAACGATCCCTGCTGAGGTGATAACCATGATTTGCAAAAGTTGTGGAAAAGCTACCATCGCCACAGCCGGAAACGGGTTGACAGCCTGACTACTGTAGGAGCTAGTTACAGAAACAGCGCTTTTCGGCTTGGAGGGGCATTTTGCATGTTTTCGAGCTCTTATTGTCAGTTATCAATGGTTGGCATAACAGTCCCACTTACGTCCGATACTGTAAACCTGGTCTAAGCGCAAAAATATATACTTCTGGGACATAGTCATTATCAGTGAAATAAGCAGAAGTCAGCTAACGAATTGAACAAGCCTCTCAATGGTGGTCTCTGTTACAAGCTTATGTGAGAGACTCAGCTGATACCCCCCACCAAGCCCGAACTGTCCGCCAGGAATGAATAACAAGGGATAAGGCGAGGTTTAGCAGGACCATCTGGAGGCCCA